AGGTTGGGCCAGGCCAAAGCCAGAAGCCAGGAGCTTCTTCTGGGTCTCTCAAATGGGTGGCAAGGGCCTAAGGACTTGGACCATGTTCCATTGAGTTCCCAAGTTCATTAGCAAGGTGCTAGATCAGAAGTGGAGCATGATGGCTTAATGAATGAATGCTCACCTTGCAAGTGCCAGGATCCCATATGGACACTGGTTCATGTTCCGGCTGCTCCATTTCCTATCCATTTCCCTGCTTATGGTCTGGGAAAGCAGTGGAAGATGGCTCAAAACCTTGGGACCCTCTACCCAAGTGGGAGACCCTGAACCCAAGTGGGAAACCCAGAAGAAACTCCTGGCTTCAGAGTGGTTCAACTCTGATCGTTGGGGACATTTGGGGAGTGAACCAGTGGCTAGAAGGTTTTTCTCTCTCCTCTCCTTTTCTCTGTAAAATGTGATATGCCTTTCCAATAAAAATAAATAAATCTTAAAAGAAAAGAAAAAGTGGAGCAGCTAAGACTCCTGTGGAATATCAATGTAACAGGTGTAGCTAAACCCACTATGTCACGACATAGGAAATCCTTCCACCTTTTTTTAAAAGTCATGCTTTGCTTCTTATAGGTACATATTCCTGTATTCCTGCTGTGATATCTGTTCATAAGCCAGACAAATGACCTCATGACATGATGTCAAGATGATGCTAGAAACCCCCTCAGGCTCAGGGCACACTGCAGAAAAGGAAGCATGTCATCGTGCAAGAGTCAGTTATGAGAGGAGAGGATTGTCAAGATTCAACTTGACCTGACATGGTGTTGGCATTGTGGCTTACTAAGTTAAGCCTCCTACCATCCCATTTGGGAGGTGCTTCAAGTCCCAACTGCTCCACTTCTAGTCCCTATCCCTACTAATGTGCTTGGGAAAGCAGCAGAAGATAGACCAAGTGTTTGGCTCCCTGCAACCATGTAAGAGACCTAGAACAAGTCCTGCTCCTGGATTCAGACCGGCCTAGCCCCAGCTGTTGTGGCAAGTCGGGGAGTGTTTAAGTACATGGAAGATTTTTCTCTCTCCTCTCTAAATGAATCTGCCTTTCAAAAAATTTTAAAAGGGCCTGGCGCTGTGGCCTAGCAGCTAAAGTCCTCGCCTTGAACGGACCTGATCCCATATGGGTCCCGGTTCTAATCCCGACAGCACCACTTCCCATCCAGCTCCCTGCTTGTGGCCTGGGAAAGCAGTTGAGGACGGCCCAAAGCCTTGGGATCCTGCACCCATGTGAGAGACCTGGAAGAAGCTCTTGGCTCCTGGCTTCGGATTGGCGCAGCACTGGCCATTCCAGTTACTTGGGGAATGAATCATCAGATGGAAGATCTTCCTCTGTCTCTCCTCCTCTCTATATATATATGACTTTGCAATAAAAATAAATTTTTAAAAAAACCTGACATGAATTTCACATTGAATGTGACTGCCATCTTGTCCTTTAGCTAACCCAGAGGGTCATCATAATCTTCAGACATAAATAAAGTTGAGATAGTCTTCTGCTGATCAACCACGTAATCATTATTTAAAAATTAAATTTTTAAAAAGATAGCCTTCTGTCCTTATCTGAATGCTTTTAATCGGATACCTGGAACGTCTCTTAAGAATGTAGGTATCTCTTGGGCCCAGCATGATAGTCTTGAGTCTAAAGTCCTTGCCTTGGTGCCAGGATCCCATATGGGCACTGCTTTTAATCCCAGCTACCAACTTCCCATCCAGCTCCCTGCTTGTGGCCTGGGAAAGTAGTGGAGGACGGCTCAAAGCCTTGGGACCCTGCACCCGCGTGGGAGACCCAGAAGCAGCTCCTGGCTCCTGGCTTTGGATTGGCTCAGCTCCAGCCACTGTGGATGCTTGGGGAGGATCCCAGTCTCTTAAACTGCTTTCTAGTCCACAAGCAGGGAGCTGGGTGTGAAACAGGGCTGCCGGGATTAGTAACGGGAGCCCATATGGGATCAGGCACATTCAAGGTGAGGGCTTTAACCTCTATGCTATTGCACCAGGCCCAGAAGTCCTCTTTCTAAGAGCCTCCCTCCACCCTTAACTCTGCTTTTCAAATAAATAAATAACACTTTTTTCTTTTTTATGTGTTTAGTTTTTGAAAAAAAAATTATGTATAAAGCTTTGATCTGCTGATTTACTCCCTATGTTACAACAGACTAAGACTGGGAGCCTGAAACTCAAATCAAGTAGTCCAGCCAAGCCCTGCTGCCACCTCCGGCATGTATCCGCAGTTATCCGGAGCTGGAAGCAGAGACAGGACTTGAACTCAGGCACTCTACTATGGGATGCTGGTGTCCCAATAGTCTTCTTAGCTGTTTGACCAAACATCTACCTCTTTTGTTGATTGTTATTGCAAATAACTGAGCTATTTGAACACTTGAATAGTTGTTGTCCCGACAGAGAAAGCCAGGAATCGAGATTTTGTAACGGTTTGACCTTTGGCATGCCAAGGATCTGGCACATCGATTTATCTTATTAGTACTTTATACAGTCCAGACTCGCAATAGCCCACATATCAATGTTGGGTTAAAGTCCCATTCCTTCTAGATAGGTGACCCCAGGGGATATGCATCCTATGGTTTCATTTGTAATTGATTTTTAAGCTACAAATATGTTCTCAGAGCAGAAATTTATATCAGCAACTTAGAAGACCTGTATTTGGTGAACAGTGTCTCAAAGTGCTGTGTTCTCTGGGAAAGTTAAGCAGATCCCAGAGAAGCTGTTCCAAGCAGGTGACAACAAAGGCAAAGCCAGCCTTCACAGCCAGTAAAATGCCTGCAAAAGTCCATTCCACAGCACCAGGAATCCTAGCTTCTGTCAGGAAGCTATGTATAACTGTCACTATGAGTGTTTCACATACTTACTATACCAATTTGCCTCTCTGTTTTTTTAACTTTTGGAGAATCTTCACTCATTTACCCTTTTGTCAACATTCTTAGTCACAAGATGTGGTTGTAAATCTGCTTTCCAGGGTCCAGCACGATGGAACAGTGGCTAAATCGTCACCTTGCACACACTGGCATCCCATATGGGCATCAGTTCATGTCCCAGCAGCTCCACTTCCTATCCAGTTCCCTGTGGCCTGTGGAAACAGTAGAGGATGGCTCAAAGCTTTGGAACCCTGCACCCATGCGAGAGACCGCGAGGAGGCTCCTGGTTTCAGATCGGTTCAGCTCCGGCTTTTGTGACCACTTGGAGAGTGAAACAGCGGACAGAAGATCTTTCTCTGTGTCTCTCCTTCTCTCTGTAAATCTGCCTTTCCAATAAAAATATATAAATCTTTGAAAAAAAAATCTGCTTCCCACTCCTCCGACTCTCTGGGACCCTGACCAACAAACCTTCAAGACAGTTTCAGAGTGCTGTTGCTGAGCAGAAAACAAATACCAAGTGACCATTGCTTTGGTTCTGGCTGTTCTTTTTCCCGACTCTGAGAGACAAGAAATGTCTGTAGTGTCCCGCAGCTCTCAGGCCACATGCCAGGGCTTTCTCCCTCAGCTTCACACTGGAAGTCAGACAGGAAACTGACAAGGAAGGGGAACCCGCAGCTACACCTGGAATCTAAATGAAGGCAGCCCATCCATCTTTTCCTGCTTAGCAGCCCAGCCATCTCATAGGAGCTGCCGGAGGAACCAGCCAAGCTCAGTGAAGCGCAGCCAAGCTCAAAGCAAAGATGCTGACTCCAGCAGTTCCCTGCAAAAGTCCACCCCATTGTCTTGTACCCAGTAATGCCACTGCATGCTCCCACACACATTCTACTTAATTTTTGGCCATTACTGGGACCCCAGCAGTTGATCCACCTTTTTCACTAAATAATGTCTTGAGCCCCTATACCATATAAGCTCTTGGGGCTAGTGTCATAGCACAGCAATTTAAGCTGCTACCTCTGCAGCTGGCACCCCATGCCTGAGTACCAGTTTGAGTTCTCACTCTGCCCATTTGAATTCTGGCTGCTTTGCTTCTAGCCTAGTTCTCAGCTTACATGCCTGGGAAGGCAGTGGAAACAAAGTCCTTGGGTTCCACTCCACCCATACAGGAGACCAGGACGGAATTTTTTTCTCCTGGCTTTGGTCTGGCCCAACTCCAGCCTATTGTGGCCACAGAGGGAGCGAACCACTGGATGAAAGAGCAAATTCTTTCTCTCTCTCTCTCTTTTCTCCATCTCTTTGCTACTCTTTCAAATAAATAATTTTTTAAGTAATGAGACCTTGCCTTAGTGGGCTTCTAAGTGGATTTGGGGAACGGGTGAGAGTACCTGCTGTGTCTCGCAGGTGGGGTGTACACTAAGTGCCACACAGACACAAAATTAAGGGTTCCCCCCCCCCCAGGGGAAGTCTTCTGGGGGAGCTAACAGAGTCAGGAAGGTGACTGAAGGGGAGGCTGTGGAGATGCAACCCCGAGGGCAGAGGCTGCAGGGAAAGGAGGAGCCCTCGGAGACCCAGGCCTGGAGGCCCCACTCCCTTCCCAGAGAGGAAAGGCTCTGGGTTTCCCAGAGGGGAGTTTGGTGTAAAAGAACCTTGATTCTAACAGAAAATCTCCACACGTGTGCTGGCACGTCAGGTGCAGGGGATGCGGCGCCACTTCTCCCCACACTCCTTTCTGCCAGGCCGGTTGCTGGGTCCTGGGGGACACCAGGCCAACCAAGTACAGCACCTCCTTCTCCAAGTGCACTCCATGCCGTCGCCTCAGCCTGCACACACCACAGACCTGGCTAGACTCACTGTGTGGAATCGCAGGGGCCGAGACCCTGAGCCTCTGCACTCTCAGCAGCTCCCCATACCTCTTCTGCAACTTCCGTTTCAGGCCTGGGCCTGCTGGCTGTGCCCCTCCAGGCTACTCTGCTGGGTCGCCTCAGGCAGACGCCGGGCCGAGGCGCAGCGCCCGCCCGCGCGCCCTCCTCAGCCCCCCGAGGGCTTGTTCGTTTGATGCCAAGGAGCAGAAGCCCCGCCTCCCCGCGCTGGCTCCACCCCCTCCTGTTACGGACAAGGACACCCCGCTCCCGACCCGGAGCGCTCCGCCTAGCCTAGCTCCTCCTCCGGCGGCTTAACTTGGACCCTCTGCCAGGGTCGTAATTCCAACGACCACAACTTCGGGCAGACTCCGGGTTGCAAGCGAGCGAAGACAGCGACATGGCGGCGGCGGCCAAGGGGCAGAACCTTTCCGTGGTGGTTCACGGACCCGGCGACCTCCGCTTGGTAAAGGGGGAAGCAGGCAATGGGGGCGGTCCTAGGTGCCGGCTGCCTCGCTCCCGGATTCCCGGTTCCAGCCCGGTGCACACCCTACTCTGCACCGCCGCGCGCCTTGGCTGTGGGGTCCGAGCTGGCTAGCGAGCGGTGGGGGTGGGGATTGTCGTTGAGGGAGGTTCTAGTTGAGTGCTTCCCGGAACCCAGCCCCGTGGTTGGCACGTGCCAGGCGCCCAGGAGGGTTGCTGACTTGCTTTGAAGCCTCTCCCTTCGTCGCTTGCCCCTTGTCGTTGCGCTTTTTAGTTAGAAAACGGAGAGACAGACTGCCTGGCTTACGACCTGCGCCCCATCTCCCCTCTGGGCAGGCAGCGCAGGGCAACAAGAGGCACCAGGAACGCTTAAAAGCATTGGAATTTCTCTCTAATCTCTCTTGCTAGCCATTGACAAAGCCTGCCTCGCAGGATTATTGTGATTGCCAGAGAACCCAGCCCTTAGCAAGTGCTCAGACCGGGGCAGCTTCTGGCCTTGCAGTACCGGCCTGCAGCTGCAGGCTCTTGGTGCTCCCTGCACCTGCCTTGCACTTGGGGAGCCTGACCGTCTTCAGGCCTCCAAAGCTCTTGTCTCCTCACTTCTGGCTCTCTTTGCAGCTCTTTTCCCTTCGGATCTGGCTCCCTGTCCTTTTAGGAACATCGTGTCTCCTGCTTTTGGCTGCCTGGCTACTGGGGCCAAAGTTTAGGGAACTATGGAGTGTGGAGTCAGCCCCTGTGATCACGCCGCAAGTCCCTTGACAAAGTCCATCTCCAAGGGGCCTGGGCTGCGGATGGGCGCCAACCGGCTCCCCCTCCCCCCACTCCAAGAATACATTAGGAACTCAGTTGAAGGGATTCAGGAGGTTATCCAAAGGAACAGTTGTGGGAGCTTGAGAATTCATAGTCAATCCCTGCTGAAGTTTGAAAACAATTCCAGATTGTTCCAGACTCCCTGACATACCATTAGCCTCCCTAGCCGCGGGTAGACTCAAGGCTGAGGACCCTCTTTGGTTTGCTCAGCTGGAAAAGGTGCTTATTAGTCAGTGTGATGAGCCAAGAACTCAGAAACTCCACTCCCCAGGTGAGAGCTCTTTTCTGCTCATTGGAGATTGGGAATGCCTGTGACACTTGTTGCGTTTATTGCTATAAATGCCAGGTGGTGTCAGGGAGAAAGTGGCTCAGCAATGCATGGCTCATAGGGTGGTCTCAAACTCAATCCTTGACTCCTTGACCCCACAAACATTTATCAGATCAGAAGGGCAACCACTCTGTGTGATGCCCTGGCTGGGTGCCCAGGGAGGTGGGCGACACTACAGCCCCAGCTCCACAAATGCAGTCAACAGTTGAAGAGGGAAGACAGAAGATGGATGCCCAGTGTGGAGATGGGGGGGAGGTTAGTAAAGGCATGGCAGGGAGGGGCGTGCCCCTCTCCCTGTGCACACCCAGGGTGTGTTCAGGTTCATGCCCTGGTAAGTAACAGGCCTAGGATTGCAATGACATGGCCAAAATTCTGCTCTGCCACAGGACTCAGCTGTGCAGACACGCCCCCTCCCTGGACAGGAGCTGGGAAGAACGCACAGCTCAGATCTTAGAACCCATATAGGCACTGGATTAGGGGCTTTGTGGGGCTGGCTTTATCCTAAGATGAGCTAGGGAATGTCTCTTAAAGCTGAGAGGGGGCTGCTGGGTCAAAGGGTTCCTCTGGGTGGAGTCAGGAGGAGTCATTTGCAAAAAGCCAGACGGTCAGGTTCACAGCGCAAGGTGCTTTGGGGCCACCCCCTTGGGCAGCAGGGTCTCCAGGGCAGGCCTGCTGTTACTGGAGATGCAGGCTTGGCAGTCAGTGTTTCAGGGAATTGGAGAGGTGACAGCGACCTTATTTTTTGTCTCGCATGAAAGCAGGGTTTTCATGTAGACAATTTGAGAGAGGTCTTGTGTCATAGTGAAAGGAGGGGGTTCCCAGGAAGGAAAGGCCTGAACCTCCATTAGGATTGAAGTTTTTAAGTACCATTTTTTTAAAGATTTTTTTAAATTGGAAAGTCAGATATACAGAGAGGAAGAGAGACAGAGAGGAAGATCTTCCATCTGCTGATTCACTCCCCAAGTTGCTGCAACAGCTGGAGCCAGGAGTTGCTTCCTGGTCTCCCACACAGGTCCAGCGTTCCAAGACTTTAGGCTGTCCTCAATCGCTTTCCCAGGCCACAATTTAAATATTTGTTTATTTTTATTGGAGAGTTTGATTTACAGAGAGATGGAGAAAGAGAGAGGAAGGTCTTCCATCTGCTGAATCGCCCCCAAAGTGGCCACAATGGCTGGAGCTGAGCCAATATGAACCAGGAGCCAGGAGCTTCTTCTAGGTCTCCCAAGCAGGTACAGGGTCCCACGACTTTGGGCCATCTTCAACTGCTTTCTCAGGCCACAACAGGGAGCTGGAGTGGAAGTAGAGCAGCTGGGATATGAACTGGCATCCATGTGGGATCCTTGCATATGCCAGGCCAGGATTTTGCCACTAGGCTACTGTGCCAGGCCACAGGATTTTATACACATTTTATTTTTATTGGAAAGTTAGATATACAGAGAGGAGGAGAGACAGAGGAAGATCTTCTGTCCAATGATTCATTCCCCAAGTGGCCACAATGACTGGAGCTGCGCCAGTCCAAAGCCAGGAGCCAGGAGCTTCTTCCAGGTCTCCCACATGTAGATGCAGGATTCCAAGGCTTTGGGCCATCCTCGACTACTTTCCCAGGCCACAAGCAGGGAGCTGGATGGGAAGCTGCACTGTTTGGATTAGAACATATGGGATCAGGCACGTGCAAGGCGAGGACTTTAGCTGCTGGGCTAACATGCTGGGCACAGATTTTATGTTTTTAAAGTGAATTCACTGGGCCTGGTGCTGTAGCCTAGTGGCTAAAGTCCTCGCCTCGCATATGCCAGCGTCTCATGGGCGCTGGTTCTAATCCCGGTGGCCCCACTTCCCATCCAGCTCCCTGCCTGGTAGCTGCCTTAAAAAAAAATATATATATATATATATATTTATATATATATATTTATATATATATATGACTTCACCAGGGACAAGAGACCCTAACTGCCTATTACCCCATCTGACTTCTCACAATAGCCTCTTTATTGAGCAGTCCTGTGCTCCCTGGGAGTACTGGAAATGGATTTGTGGAACCCACTGGCAGAAGGGGTATGACTGGCTGACTTCCTGGGGAAGGATTATCCTGCCGCAAAGAGCATCCTGTTGGGAAGTAGTGGCTTTGCTGGGCTTCCCTTGGAGAGGGTAACTCTTATTCTGTAGAGGGAAAAGAGAAGAAGTGGAGATACCCTGGAGAAGGCCTTGGGACTGGAGGGGAAGGGGCAGAAAGAGGTGTCAGCAGAGGAGGCTGAGCAGGGAGGTCCAAGTTGCCCCAGGAGACACCTGCAACTCACTGACCTCCTGGACCCTCTGTCACTTCCTCCTAAGCGTGGGCTTCCCCTGGCAGCACCTGCCTACCGCTGCCCAGGGCATCCCTGCCCCACTGTTTGCTTAAGGCCAGTAGAGTCATTGATGTGGGGTTTGGTCAGTGGTAGAAGTAAACCATGGATAGCCACTGGGAGGAACAGATGTGAGAAAGTTAGAAGACCCGCATTTCATGGCCCTAATGAAAGCAGTTAGTAATTGCGTCTAGGGGAGGAAGAGGCAGCTGATTTGGATATGAATGGCAAAAGGAGACAAAGAGGAAGAATTGGAATGTGTTTCTTTTTGATTGGAGACCACCAAACTACAGAGGAACACCTCCTCCTGCCCCACTCCCGCCTCCTGGCTGGAAGTGACCCCAGGGCCTGCAGGCTGGGGCCCGTCTGGGTGGACCAGGGTGTAAGTCCGTTCATGCAGATGAGTCTCCCTCAGGAGCCCCTGGGAAGAGAGCTGTCTGGAGAAAAGCCTGCTCCTAAACTGTGAAGCAGGCCAGAGCTGGCCCCTTCCCAGAACTGCCTTCCTGCTCAGCTAATGCAGTGGTTCTGTGGGAAGAAAGAAACAGACACGTGGCCTCCTTCTTGCCCAAGGAGAGGCAGAGGGGACCCATTTCTCTTTCCTGAGCCTGTGGCTGTAGGGAACAGCTAAAGCAGGGGTCCCCTGTAGCCTGGCAGGGCACTAGCACTGTAACTGGGTGGCAAATCACAGTCTGTGTGTGTGTTCGGGGGGGGCGGGGCGGGCAGGTATTCACACGTAAGATGTGCTGAGACCTCAAACAAAGCGGGGAGCTAGAAGGATGTTCTCATTCCTTGCTATGTGAAATGGAGGCCTGAGACTTGGAGGGAACGAAGGGGAGAAGTAACCAAGAGGCCACAGCAAGAAGCAAACAGCCCTCTGGCCAGCGTGCAAACAGTGCGGCAGCTCTCTGGATGGCTAGGCCGCTGGAGGCAGGAATGAGGTCACATGCCAGGCCAGGGCCCCTCTGCTCCTAGCACTGGACTCGCTGTTTTCTGCTTCCTTTTCCCCTTCTGGAAGTGAGGATGTACTATGCGAGGGGTGGTGCCCAGAGCAGCAAGAGTCAGTGAGCACAGTGAAAACATGGGGGACTCCCACTCCAGGGTGCCCCTTAATCACATTGCTAGAGTGGGAGTCCAGACAATAGTGTTTGCATTTTGAAGAAATGCCTTGCACCTTGGGTCAAAAGAATTCTTTTGTCAATAATATTTTTTTAAATAAGATAACTTGATATTTATAATCCAACATGCTGAAAATGCCCTCTCTGGTACTGTTTAATATTTTGGGGGGAGAGATGAGCGTTGTGACCTAGGCTAAGTCATGGCTTGAGTCATGGACATCCCAGGTCGGGAGTGTCTGGGTTCAAGTTGCAGCTACTCTGCTTCCCACTAATGCATCCTGGGAGGCAACAGGTGATGATGGTTCAAGGGTTTGGTCCCTGCCTCCCATATGGATACCCCATTGGAGTTCATGGCTCCTGTCTAGGGCCTGACCCAGTCCCAACACATTTT